TATGCAGTGTAGCGTCACTGGATACTCTTGCGTAGTTCTTGCATATCTGTACTGCCTACTGCAGTACAGACCATTTTATGTCAGTACTTGTGAAATCCATTTATTTGACTTGAGCACCCTGAATCTATGATACATCCTCTCGGTCCTCGCAAGATGTCCTACAACATCGTGCAATGATTTGCATAAAAAACGCTTCCCGTTGGCTTTTATCTTATGAACACTGATATCAACATTCGTGCTGAATATTGACTGATGTTGATACTGATTAGGAATGTACAATAAATAAACAAGATGACTGGAAACATCACAAACGAAAGGTTCAGCTGGGTTCCAGGTGAGTCTCTGGCAAAACCAAATTAGTTTGAAAATGTGTTTTTCTCTAAGCAAGATGCCTGTTTCTTCGGTTAAAAGAACTGCTTACAACATAAATATAACATAAACACCTTGAAAATCCTTTTTGAAATGGTAGATCACAACCAAATAATTTTCGCCATGCTTTTTTTCTTAGACGCTGACACGGTAGGTAGTTAACTGAGGGAATTCTACGTTTCGCACATGGCTAGAATGGCGCTTGACTGCATCATGGTCACAAAGGGTCGTGATTTGTGTTCACTTTTCTTTCCCAAAACTCCCCTTTGTGGATGCGCTGCCAAACAACACAGAAACACACCCTCTGGGAAGAATACTGTGATCAGCTGCTAGGTATTGATTTTAACTGTTTCCACTGCTTCCACCATCCGAAACAGTTGGGAAAAACTATTACCACTGTAGCCAGGAAACAATTATCTTGTGAAATATCCGGTATTTTGAGACGCGTATTATGATTATTCACCTCAGGAAATTATGACTGATCGTTGAATATGAACATTAAGATTGCAGTGATTTTTCGTAGCTTTTAAGATGAGCAATGGAATTGCCATCGTTCCTTTTCCCATATTATGCTTTTCAGGGAGTTGATAACAGACGTAGGTTGATGAAAATGAGGGCCGAGGTGAACTTCCACAGGCCGAATTTAGTAAATCATGATTATTGTATGAAATGACACGTACTTTTGTTTTCTTTCTGGTTATATGGCTTGAGCCATCAAGAACGAATGCTACTGGGGGTCTGTTGATCGAGTTAGGCCATCATTCTTCGCGAACACTCATTTTTCCACCATTAGGAGCTGCTAAAAAGAGTATCGCCTACTTTTGACAGTTTTGATGCTTTGGGAGGCGAATGGTTCAACGTTTTATTTGGAGGATATGTTCCAGGTAATCTAACCGCAGTTACCTTGCTTTGTAGATGAAAACAGATGCTGACATTTGTCTGGTTCCAAAAATAGGTGAATCACTTCAAAAAGGCTAGAACCACAAGAAAGATAAGCCACTTATTAAAACTGATTCTCTGATTTAAATTTATAGTCAACTGCCACATTAAATGGTGGATGTTGCACGCACTGCTGATAGATTACCCCTCGGCACGAGTGTAGACTTGAGATGCGTTCCCTGGAACATATCAGGGTTGCACAGAATCTTGAAGAGAGTGAACCTGGAAGAGGAGATCAATTAACGACCGAAAGGTCTATACCGCTGGTTTGCGTCATTCACCGAATTCACTCGGAACCCGACAATCGTCTCTGAAACTTTGTGGTCCCCAAGGAGGACGTGATAATTGCTAACGCCTGGGTTAAACCATGTCTTGCTACCATCACTTGATATGGGCAAATTTAGGTGAAATCCGTGATGGAATACTTTTCTTATCACAACTATCGAGTTCACAAGACTCGAAGTAACTCGCATTCGAAATGTTCACGACCAGCATGTCAATATCGGCATCAAAAGACAACCGGTGAATGAAGTTTGTAGGGGTGCTACAGGAGAAAAAGCGAATGAAAAGGGGAGGTTAAACCTCCAATATGACTTCATTAGCAAGCAGATCAAAATACAAGAAAACGTTACGTTCTTAAACCAGAGGTGGCCACGCAGCCCAATGATGAAAGCAAAAAATGAGCTAGTCTAAAAAAGGCAGCTGTTCGTGTCAACATACCTATATGAGGGACTCCACGGTTATAAAGGCAAACCAGCAACAGATACTTGAAGCGAACTGCCGCTCGAAAACGAAATGTCAACGACATATATGGGTTATCAACTCACATCTGGTCTTAAAATAAGCCTAAAATTCGTTTTCTTGACAGAACGCTACTAATAGTGTTGCTGAAAACTCTTCGACAGTCCACGACAGGTATCGTCCTTCTCGAGCACATTAGCAGAACGCTACTAATAGTGTTGCTGAAAACTCTTCGACAGTCCACGACAGGTATCGTCCTTCTCGAAGCACATTAGGTAGATACAGTCTCTGAATTTCCATCACCTTATGTTTTGCTTGAACCCAAACAGTGTGAAATTTTTGAACTACACTCACTTGAACACTGTTTTGGTTTTGATGTGTGATGCAACCGAATACCAGCTGAATCTCTCGTCAGTGAAATTCTTCGACACAATAACAACACCATTTGGTTTGACAATTGAAACGAGGCCTAAATGAGAAAAATTAGAACCACGCGTGAGACACAATGGAGGAAGCATGTTCCCAAATATTTTCGTCAGCTGCTGAATCAGACTAAATGAGGTTAGAATCGTGACTTCTTAATGCCTCTTCCCAAACTTCATGTTTAATAATACACTTGATCTGTCTATTGCTGACAAAAAAGGTGTATGTATACGTCGAAAATCGGTGACCGTGATAAACAGCCGCATGCCTCTGACTTTCACCATGTCTAGTGTCCCACACATGCCTTTTCATTATTACGCCACCTCATTTTTCATCATGACTTCCCCCCTTGTGCTTGCTACTGTTTGTTTTTAACATGTTGATTTTGGTCCCTTCCTCAAGGCACTAATTATAAGCTCGGACCTACGGCGTAACTTATTGTCATTATTGTCATTGACGGCTTCCGGTACACATGGCCGCTGACCTGGAAAGCGGAGAAACGGTCAGCTGTGTGTCAAAGTCATGGAAATAAATGTTCTGTCCACTGAACATCACTATGAACGGGCACATTCTTGGACAGATAGTCATAACTGATCTGAAGGAGGGTGAAACAGACATAAATACGTTTCCACATCGGTGATAATGTGTTTGCTTCAAAAAGCTGATTTTGGGTTGCGATTCAAGTATGCGTCTAGAATCCGCTGTGTAGTGTAGATCGGGTACATGCTGTTGGGGAGTACACAAGGGTTCATACATACTTATATTCATTAGTCAAAGTTTAACTGAACAACCCAAGTTTATAGATGGTGACAAACGATTATTGTATCCTTTTTTTACGGGAACCGTTAAAAAATCCTCCTAGTAGCATTTGCATGCTATAAGAGATGTCATAACTTCTTTGTCCTCGATAGCGGTTTTGCCGGCTTGGTAACGGAAAACGTATGAAAACTCACCTGTTTTAGGTCGTTTGGGAAGATATCACATTAGATATTGATTACCCGGTCCATACCAGTCGCTAAACAGCTGATTTGCGTCGACTGACAATTACTCCTTTAAATAAGCCGAAGTAACGTGGCACCTAGCTGAATCTTATTGCTCACAGTCACACTAATAGTGCATGTATTATGTTGCCCTAGGTGAACAGCAACAGTGAGGAATTCAAGCCTGATAATCTGTTTCAAGTATTATATGCCTTCATAAAGGAAACTACTCCCAAGGTTGTCTTTCTGAATACCGTTTTGCCTTTAATGTGGTCATTTATTTAAAGTTGTCTCACACTCACATTGAGTAGAGAGTTCATTTAAGCAGTTAGATATCGGTTCTTTCGGTTGAGACAGAAGGGAGGCATCATTTATCTATTACTTATTCCCGTGATATGAGTTAGATTTCTCTCACTGAAGAGTCAAGACCTGCTGGACCTAACAAACTTCCTTTTAATGCCTGCTTACTGAGAAATGGTGGATATTATTGATCAAATTAATATTCACCATGTAGCTTCACCTGTCTTACTGCCAGGCGCTAAAATGCCAGTGAGACAGCACCTTATTCGAACCACCCAGTACCCCTAATAGAGAGAAAATAGGTTATCTATGAAGACATCACTAACAGGCCCTCGACGTGGCCAATATTTGATGGTGTATCGTTCATGGACATCAGTTTATGCGCAGATAGAAGTCTGAACTTGGAACAGACAGAAATACATGAAATAGCTCGGGGCATAGTGGCGTGGAAAGGGTGACAGTCCGCTTGAGTGTAGTCAACATGTTTGTAAGTGGTGAAGTGAAATAGAACCCACTACACGTGGAAAGGATTTTTGGAGACTGCACGATCAGAATTTGATTTTCTGTTGGAATCAGAAAAAACACGCAAGAACTAGAGTAGATGTGGCAGAACCCAAGGTGGGGTAACATTTTTTCATGTTTTCCGACAAAAACTTCGATAGCCTTGTATTCCTTGGAATCATGTTAAAACTTGGTTTCGTCAACCATATCTTCAAGTTGGTACCAGCTATGAACAAAAGACAGTTGGTTTGCCAGTTCCAGTTGCTTTTGGATCTGTCCCACCGCTTCCAGACCCTTCACTGCAGAAATGTCGTGGTGAATCCTTTCAGCACTGTTCTCTCGAAAGTTGTACGTAGATAACAGCAGGTTCTAGTCTTTATTTAAACACAAAATATCTTTTAAGGATCCAGGTACGCCAGCGTTGGCAAATTTTTTCACTTGATCTTATCAGAGCTACGTGCAAGAACCTGACACATGTTCATTGGCAAGCATTAAAACATATTCTTTTCCAGCATGGCTTATAACTCCGATGATGACAATGGGTGATGCACACTGAGAGCTTTAACCTTTGAAGAAATTTTGCGTTTGGAGCGGATGTTCCGCCATTTGTGTGCCTATTTGGTGCCGCTGTGACTGAAGGTAAATAAAACCGTGATGACGTTTGGTTCAAGAACAAAGTTGGGGATACACTATGCAAGCACTTCAGCTACAAGTATATTGATGATCTTGCGGAGCTTTGATCCTGAGATGTTACCGCTGAACATATTGAAAGGCTTTCAGTGCTTGACCATCGATGTCTCCAGAGCATCGCCTTGATCCAGTGGGAACACCGGATCAGTAATGCTGAAGTACGCCGGGTGGTTTTCTAAAGAAATAACCTGTCCATGCTAGACGAGCTGATTACACTCCACAGGTTGCTCTGGTTTTGCAATGTGCTCCCTATGCCAGTCAACTGACTTCCTCAAAAGGCTCTTTTCGCTCAACCATCCGAAGAGTAGAAATGAGCAAGGGGTGCTCAAACAATGACTTGACAGTGATGTATGGAAGCTGTTACCAGAAAACGCATTTTCGCTTGTCATTACTTTCTTCTTGGTTTGGAACCCCGAGTCGGAACACATCAATGATTGGAGACTTTTTTAGACATGGTCCAGTCGCGCCGTCAATGGCGCTCGTGCATCCAAGCCATTGCTTTCAGTTCATGGCTTCTCTCCCAATCTCCTCAATAAAAAGTCCAGTGACGACCCTGTATTTATGCATCAATTGTATCAGCTTCCGCCTCCAGTACACCGCTATCTACCTACCTCTCCAAATAATCAGTGAACGAAACTGTGGCAGCTATAACCACTGTACGACAAATATGTGGTTTTTGCAGCTGTTGATGATCATGAGTGTCGGTAGTTCGCTGCTCAGTCGACTCAACTCCAAGCTTCCTTGGATACTGCCAGGTAGACTAAGCTCATAAGGGAGCAGGTAAGATGCCTTGGTTTGCCTCGAAACACGAACTGTCTGGTCAGGGAGCGTGCACCTTAGCCACGGAGTGGCCTCGAGCACAGCAAATAGCAGGTAGTGCTGACTACGTCTAGTAATCACGGACTCCACTTTGATTGACGCGTAAAACCTAACGATAGAGGTTGTGGAATAATGAGGTTTATAGAGTAAACAGAAACGTTACAATAAAAGTCAATAACTTTACAAACTTGAGGCTATAAGGAGTACTTGTCGAGCGCAATAACATGTTGAAATTGCACATGGAAGACAGGGTGTCTGTTTTGCTCTTTAGAACTGATAAATCAGAGCTGATAAATAACGGCACCTTTAATGTCATCTCCTGCATAAGTAAATCGTGTGAATCTGTTAAAGAAAGACCGTACTTACTCGTCCGTATGAAAACATCAAAAGCGCTGGAACAAAATTATATTGAGTCCAAAGAAACTCAAGTGGTACTGATAGAACCCATAGGCAGCTGAACAAAAGTTTCTTAGAGTAGTTGCTTGTATTGTATTGATCTTGTAGAATTCAACTTGATAGCCTTAGCTCAAAATATCATGTCTCAAAGGGATCAACTTGCGGACTAATTCTAAGCTGGAGGTTGGTGAATTCTGGTTACGGTTGTGTGTTTTGCTCAACCTATTAATTAAGCAGTATGAAGAAATTTTGTAGGTGCAATCTAGATTTATTCCCGCGGTAGAAATCATTTATATATTGACTGCGCCTCGCATTAAGTCTTAGATCGCATGTCTTATGGTGACTGGGATCATCGTTGGAATTACCTTTAGTGATTGAATCTGCCGATTTCCCGTGCAGTATAGGTCTACGGGCTACAACATCCCCAAACCTCGGATCAAATTATAAGTCCGGAGAAAGACACTTCAAGTGTTGTTGTATTCGCTTACTCGTGGATGCGTCATACAATGTAAGATTGCGATTGAAATGTCATCGCATTCCACCGAACCAGCAACATGTCTGCATCAACAGGTCTCACACAAAAGGACTGCAGGTTTCTAAACACGCTGTATTTACTCAGTAGACAATTTATTGCGACACATAAGATTGTTGTTGCTCTATTGGTATTTCCAGTACGACTGTGGTATTTCCGAACCAAGACATTTCATATTGCACGTGAAGAATATAGCAATGTTTGAGCTTCAGTCAATACCATATCTTGTACTGAACGACCTTATTTGTTCGAATTGTGGTCAAAGTGCACAGGTTCTCCGACGAATTCGGACCAACTGGTTGTTGTGTGGTGGGTGAGCTCCCGACAAAAGTCAGTTCATCAAACAGAGCCAACTGGTGATAGAAATACTAGAATTGAGAAGGCAACAGAAATCATATGACAAAAAAGATTGTACCCGACTGCTTCCAACTATGGGTTCAGCGGTTTCCGATTTTTCTGTCCGCTACTTCTGTACACTTGAGTTCAAAGTTAGGAAACGTATACCGTCTGGCTTGTAGACAGGCAAACGCATATAATTAAATAAAAATTGCACCGATCAAGGCTCATTTTGTGCTTTGGCCGATCATTTGGTTGGGAATGTAAACGTGATTATTGATAGTATTGTTGACCATAATTCAGAGGGACAACAAACTCCGAAATCAATTTATTTACAGAGCTTGAAATTGTAACGCCAAAGTGCTGCTATCTCAGCTGAATGGAATAAATGCTTCCAATGAGACGGAGACAAAGTACCCGGAATTAGGAGGAGTTTAGAATTTCCAGCCTCTGTAACCTTGCCTTCCTCAGCAAGGCCTGTTGGCTGTTCCTCCGAATCAAGAAGGCGATGACTGGTGTAGCTGTAAGCACTCTGAGTTTTCCCTCTGCACCTGATATCCAATCGGCCTCGAAGTCTGTTTTTTTAACAAGGGATATGTGATTAATTTGCTGATATCTGTAAAGTGGGCGAACCCTGTGTTCTTCATGAGTTGAGAAGACGGTGTAGGCTGCAGTATAATCATTGTGGCTTGCAGTTGGCTGTTCGTGCTCATTTCGGAGTAACGAAATTCCCTTCCAACGATTCCTCTACAGGTAATTGGGGCAATTTTAGAAAGGTGTTTACTAATGCTTTGAGCCATCCTTGTGCTAAGAAACACGGAAAGTCCGTTTGTTAAACATTTGGTATGTATGTGCAATCGTTCCATACTTAAAGAATACCATATATACTGGGGAGTCAATAGTGCATTAGGGCTTGGTTACATGAGTCAGTGGAACACTTTCAAATGGAAAATTAGATGGGAGTTTGGAACAAGACTTTCGCTGTCCTCCTACCGCACGAGAAGTTTCGCTGTTATGCTGTACCATTCGCGATCTTTCAGTTTCTTCTCTGAAAATTTCAGTTCAATTCAGTTTACTTCGATTCAGTGCGGTTCCGTTTAGTTATTTCTCAGCTCACAAACCGTGTACCAACGTGCAATCGCTACAGCTCCTATAACTTCCTTCGCCTTGGGTAAGAAGAATGAGGGAATGAGAGCTACGCGTTGGTGGCAATGGCCAATCTGTGCATTGATGACAAATGCAATATGGCAGGCTGTGAGATCTACGCAGTGAAGCTGACAGACTTGATGCAAGAACGTTATGGGTTGTGTCACCTGAGCAGCAGAGAATCTCCTGGAATCGACAGAAGTCCAGGTATCCACAATGATCGCAACGAAAATGGTCTCCTTCTTATTAGGGTTGGTAGCATTTGGAGTAACCCATTTTAGAGCATAGTCATTTTTTTAAAACCCATTTCTTCTTTTGGCCTCTTACTGGCGTGACTTTCCAGTCACATCGCGAATATTCAACAGTGTATCCGATTGATCTACAGGTTCTACGGCGCCAACTGCATCACCACTTGAATTTTGCCGCCACCCGACTGTAAATACTTCATTCTTTTTTCTGGTTCATCGTGTTCTATGATATCAGATCCATGCGGGACAATCGGCTCATTGGTCTCATAACACTAAGTGCTGCCTCCTGACTTATGGCTTGGAATGTCATCTTCATGGATGCCAACTATCAGAATTAGAATTTCGGAATTGCAGATGCTGACTTAGGGTCGAACACTTTATGTTCCCATCTATCGCATTTCAGGACATTATCACGTGATTTCACATCAGAGGGACATTTAACATAGTTTTATTCACAGGTGTTTCCGTAGGATTTCCTTAGTGCGGTGGGCTTATCAAGAAGTCAACCTAAGTAACATGCTTGCAGTCTTTGCAGCTGCATCACTGTTATTTTATTGTCCCATATTTTTCGAAATTCCACCTTCCAACTTGATGTCATGACTGATCTTGACCCAATCTGGTAACGCCAGTAAAGCTGATATCGATCACTTTTACACTCTAGTCCTACAAATAAACTAAACCACAACCTTAATCAGATTTGCCGCTGTAAATATTGGCTGTGTGCAACAAGCCCGTCTGTAACCCTATCCCAAAATTGAATACATGCATACAGATGAGTAGGTAACGTGCAATATTTGGATTCAACCCACTCTTGTTTAATTTTTCTTGTACTTCTCGTAAAATCACTAAAGAAGATGTTATGTCTGAAACTAGGGAACAGCAGTCTTAGCCAACCGGCCTTCACTACTTTCCGCTACATTTTGAGATCGTGGTGTGTTTTCTTCGAAGGCCAAATATAGTTTTGTTGATAATTCTCGCATATCAGCTTTCGACAGCGATGAACTTAGGGGTAGGCTTATTGCTCCCTTAATTGCAGTCGTATAGACTGCATCAGTTCGTGATTTCACTTCACAGTCTGAATTTGTATCAGTAACCTGTTAAATGCACTTCTGATTCTGCTGATTTGTTTCTGCTCTTCCAACCAAGTTATTCCAATTTCATTCAAAGTCATCCTAAAGTCTGGTTTGTGAACTCCGAGCTCAGGATATATCCTGCTAAGCCTTAACATTCAACGAATTTAGGATATTCGCCAACCTTTTTTAAACTGTCTGCAGTCTTATTTTTGGACGATATCTTTCCTGACACAGTGTGAATGAATGGTCTTTCTAAAATTCTGTGTAATGTAGTGAGACAGCTTGGTTGTTAGTCTGTTCGCTGAGCTTTGTTGCTGGATTGCAGATGTTCGAACACCAATCGAGGTGACATCGTCAATGTGGGATTGAATGGAGAATTTCCACATCCTCAGCCTGTGTTTATACAATTTCTAAAGTGTCTGATGATTCTAAAGGTGATTGGTTGGTCTAGAGGCGGCTTTAGAGCATTTTGGTTATGTGGCTTGGGATCTGAATTACGTTGTCATCTACTTTACTTATATCCAGTTAGTACGTTGGGCACCTCCAATTCAACAGTTGTCTTTGGACGGTTTTTCTCTTGCTCTGTTCTCTGGTTTTGTTCCATTTTACTGGTTGATTGAATAGCCCTCAGTTTTAAGTGGCTTTCTTTTAATTCGACTGGTCTGTTGGTAGTCGTCAGGTTGTTTGCTTTACCATGTGGTTCCTAGTCACAACTGTGTAATTCTTCCTTTCCCTGAGGCTGATAGATTGGGTCGATATAGATGTGTTTATTGATTCAGCTTTGTGTAGCTTATCACTCCTCGGCCGAATAAAGTCCCTGTATTCTTGCACGAACAAGTATTTGAACATTATCCTGAGTGGACGGGTGACTCTCTCTGTCCTCTCGAATTGAAACAAGTGATACTAGGCCATGTCTTCTGCTTGCAAGTTTGTGTTGGTCCGGTCAAAGTAGTGCTTACTGCAGCCATCACATTTGAGTGTTTAGATCACTTTAGCTCTCTTCATCGGTTTCGGAAGGTAGCTAAATTTTCCTACAGCTTATACTGAATGCCCAAGACCCTTAAACTATTTGTAGCATTCTGCCGAGAACAGTGACTGTTATTGTCTTTTGCTCACCGTAATTCAACCTCCGGAAGCCCACAGTTTGCTTCCACTGGTCTGAAGTCCCATCTCCACCAAGGGAATCAAGTCACAGTCACTCATGT